GAACTATCTAAGACTCCTCCGAGCCATAATACAAAATGTGTGTTAGTAACACTTGATCATTCCTAAACTACACTGGTTTTAAACCATCATAGAATCAAAACCCAATTTCTGCCTCCAAATTCACTACCCATTTGCAGCTGCGTCTATTTCTGTCATGTGTCAATCTTTACTATTTCATAATTTCCGACAATGTGAGGCTTACGACTCTTTATTAAAAACCACATGATAGTTTTGAGCATCGAACCAAAGACTAAGTCGAAAAAACAAGGCCATACCATCTTAATATGGGTAAAGGAGAAGGCGACCAAACCTAAGGTTACACCATTTTGGTCTGCAGATCTACCAATTAATATAAATGATTGAATACATATTGTGCCTGTTTAGTGGGGATTATATTCCCAATTAGATTCGAAAGCCAAGATGGCCTAAATGCTAACGGTACCAGACTCCACCAGAAAATGTCTATTTTCCAACTAGCCTTCCACTCAGCAGGTCCTGTTCCTCTTCTAATCAGGCACAATGTAGAACATTTCTCTTGGCAATCAGTTTTACGTCTGTAATAAGCAGCAACCCATTATAGTTGGTAGATATGAAGTTAAATAGTGTGGCCTATTGTTGGTGCGCAGTCACCTTTAGCTGGACAGTGTTGGTTTGGCCTTGTTTACCTCTCCCTGTCGCTGCGACCAAATTGCGAAAATGGTAGCAAACCAAATCCATCACAATGTTGGTAAAAAGGCCACCTGCTCTCGAGAAAAGGCAAGATGACAGGCCTCTGAAGTGACTTTCGAGGCCGAATAAATAAGACTCGTGAGTCAAATAATTCGTCTTCAGAGTTACAAAGAAACCAGTGTTGTCGACTCTGTAAATCGTCGAGGGCTACAGGCAGTAAACCCTCATGGGAGTGAATGGGCACAAAAAAGTGGCAGCGGTCAGCGACAGACACACAAGCAAGGATTCGTACCGATAGGCACAGATTCTTTTGATTGACATCCATTTGTTGAGGTCCTTCTCGTCAGCGCGAAAAATCTCTTCGGTAGTCAAGCCAAAATCGTTGGGCGTGACTTGGCGATACTTGAACTGGCAGTAGATGTCGTTCTGGCCCGGCTCTGAGCCAGTGATGACGTCTTCAAAGGAGGCGCCGATACCATCGCTAAGCGCACGCTTGTTTAACAGAGACCTATTCAGCGAAGGGCGCATCTTGCCTCCAATGCTGGATGGGTGAACATAAGAGGGATTCGAAGAAGATCCTGCATTGTTATCCTTAAGGGAAATGATGAAAACAATAAAACGGATAGAGAAGGTCTCTTTCAAATAATCGGACCCAAAGAACAAAAGTTAAAATATAAAATAAATCAACTTCCAATCGGAATCAAAAGAGGTCATTTTTCGAAAATATGACCTTTGGTATGGTTGCAGTCTCTTTTCGATGTATAGAAGTGAACTAACCTAATTTTAGCAACTTGGTAATGCTATCAAGCGAATTATTTGGACGCATCTTGTCCGAAGTCCTCTGCTATAGTAGTTATCATAATTCCCTATGTCAGGCCGTGGACTTGGAACACTCACAGACGTCTCGCCAACATCCACAGTGAGTCTCATCAATTTGAGCACGAAGCTACAACTCATCAAAGATGCAATTCCTTGACAAACTTTCTGCCAAATTGTTGTAATATCAGTTCTTTTTCTGTCCTGATTCATCCATCTGCTCCCTACACTCTTGACTCACTCACACCCTATCACCACTTCTGACTTGTTTCTATTCCACTCCTCAAAAGATGGGACCTTTGTGGCGAGTTTAATGTGGCGTCATCGCATCTGCCTTGCCCCTCCTTCCCTCTCGATTTGCTAATCCGACTCGAGCCTCCTATTCAGGTCTGCCTCATGGGCGCGTAGATCCATTTCTTATCATTCTGGTCGACCGATTACATTCGGTTTCAGTCTCGGTGTACGTTTTATTCCAAGAGCTAACTCTGCCTCCTTCTAATCTCCTGTTTATTACATTTATTTACCCAAGGATGTCAATGGCCTCCGTAATCG